ATCTGTGGCATGCACTCTGGTGCGTTTTCAATGGCGACCAAAGTAATCCGATCTGGGTATTACTGGCCAACATTGAAGTCAGACTGCAAAGACTACATACAACGATGCAAAGAATGTTAACAATTTGGCAATGCAAATCAGCAGCCACCAGAAATCCTCCATCAAATGGCATCACCCTGGCCCTTCGCCCGGTGGGGAATGGACATCCTCGGACCATTCCCCCCCACGAAAGGTCAACTAAAGTTCCTCCTCGTCGCCATCGACTACTTCACTAAGTGGATTGAAGCTTGCCCCCTCGCCAAGATCACTGCCAAGAACCTACGAAAATTCACTTGGAAGAACATCATTTTTCGGTTCGGTATCCCATATTCTCTCATCACCGACAATGGAAGGCAATTCATAGCGCAAAGCTTCGAGGATTTCCTCCGAGAGCTCGGAATCAAACACCTTCCAACCTCGGTGGAACACCCCCAAACCAATGGCCAAGCCGAAGCCGCGAACAAGGTGATACTCCGAGAACTCAAAAAATGACTAGGGAGCGCCAAAGGAAAATGGGTTGACGAGATCCCTAGCATTCTCTAGGCGTATCACTGCACCCTTCAATCAACAACTCAAGAAACACCTTACAGGCTGACCTATGGAGCCGACGCCATGATCCTAGTCGAGGTCGGTGAGACATCTCATCGGCGTCATACTTTCAACAATGAGCAGAGCACTCAGGAAATGGCAGTCAACCTCGACCTAATAGAAGAACTCCGAGAGGAAGCTCGGAAAAAAGAATAAGCCTGCAAACTCCGTGCCTCTAGACACTACAATACTAAGGTCCAACCTCGCTCTTTCCGAGTCGGAGACTTGGTATAGAGACTACAAGGAGAGGCAAGAAGAGACCCATTAGATGGGAATCTCGCGCCCAACTGGGACGGTCCATTCCATATTGTCGACAACTTAGATAATGGGGCATACCAAATAGAAGAACTCAGTGGCAAGGCCATTCCAAGAACTTGGAACGCCACTCGCCTCAAATTTTACTTCAGTTGAATTGTACAAATGGGTGCTGCACTCTTTTCCCTACCTAGTCTTTTGTCCCAATTAACTGAAAAATGGGTTTTGGCTGAGAGGGTTTTTAACAAGGCACACCCACAACATCAATAAAATGACTCATTTACTCACATTTCCTCAATTTCATGTTATCTTGGCACGAATTATACTAAGCCAAGGTCGAATTCAAACCTTGGCACGAATTATACTAAGCCAAGGTCGAATTCAAACCTTGGCACGAATTATACTAAGCCAAGGTCAAATTCAAACCTTGGCACGAATTATACTAAGCCAAGGTCAAATTCAAACCTTGGCACGAATTATATTAAGCCAAGGTCGAATTCGAACCTTGGCACGAATTATATTAAGCCAAGGTCGAATTCGAACCTTGGCACGATTTATTTTAAATCAAGGTCACATTTGGACTTTTGCGCAAATTATGATTAAAAGGTCAAGCCTGAACCTTAAGGTCGAGTTTAAACTTCAGAAACAATAAAGGTCAAGTCTGAACCTTAAGGCCAAGTCCAAACCTCAAAAAAGTAAAAAGGTCAAGTATGAACCATGACCAAAAAACCCAAGGCTACACCTAGTTGAATTCATTTGAGTGCGAAATGAAAAGCAAAAACTCAAACGACAATGAGAAAAACAATGCATATACACAGCAAGTTCATCCACAAGAGATATGAGTTCATCATAAAAAGTAAACAGAATAAGCTAAATTATTACATACAACCTAAGTGGCAGTATTCTTGCTCGAGCTCTCCGGAAGGTCATCTTCATTCACCAACTGACCACCTCGCACATCCTTGTCAACGTGCATCATGGAGAAGTCCACCCCGGAAGCAATAAATCGAGCCTGGAAAGCCGCCTTTGCAAACCCTCTCTTATGCTCCACCAAAACGGCCCGCTCAGTCTCGACGAGCCTCTTCTCCAAGCTCACCCTCATCGTAGCCATTGCATCAAGGTCAGCCTTCAAGGCCCCAACCTCCTCTTCCTTGCCAACTAGAAGTACCTCGTCGCATAGACGCTTCTCGGCAGCCTCTCTCAGGTCAGCCTATATCGCCACGTTCTCCTTCTCTAAGGTCAAAGCCCGGCCCCGCGAAGCCTCTGCCTTAGCTTTGCAAACCCTGGCAACCTCTCGCAGGTCGCCAACTTGGACAGCATATGCCTCATTGGCCTTCAAAGCGACATCCAAAGATTTCTAAGTCTTTGAAAGATCTCTCCTCGAAGCTTAAAGCTCAGCTTCACTTTTCTTTGCAGCCTCCAGCGCGGCCTTCAAGGCCCAGTTCTCCTACTCCAAGGGTAGAACTCGGTTGCATGCACTCTCTAGCTCGCCTTGAAGCCTTGGCCACTTGCACTTCCAGTGGTCCACAATGGCAATCGACCTCTACATGAAGACCTCCACGGAGTCTAGGCCCTCCACTAGACCAACTTTCTCTATCATGGCCTTGTTAGCAACAAAGGTTGGGTCCTCCTTAAAAAATGACTCTGCGGTTACCTTAGAACTCCACAACAACGTTATGTCCGAAGACACACTCACATGGTCCAACTTGCCATTGGACGGTTGACATCGAAGCATTGAACAATACACTTCGGCCTCAGAACGCCGCCATGAGTAGGCGCGGCAGCAGGAGGAGTCGGCATTAGCGCCTCAGAGCTCGACCCCTTCCCGCGAGCCTCGGCAGAGGTAGGCCCCGAACTCACCTGTGCAGCAGCAGTAGAAGTCGACGTTGGCATCTCAGAGCTTGGCCCCTTCTTGCGAGCCTCGGTGGAGGTAGGCGTCGAACCCACCTGCGCGAAACACGGAAATTTTTCTAAGTCACAAACAGCACACAACGCAAAAAGAAACACTATAAGACAAATACACAAACCTGTTCCTCACGGGCGACCTCTTCCACAGGCACCCTCGGCGACCCCTCGCGTAGAGGACTCCCGGTCAGGTCGATTGGGTTGGCATCGACGGCCCTCGAGGTCACCTCTTTAAGAATGGCAGGGGTCGAGGTCTCGCCGACCCCCTTCTACCCCCTTTTTCTTTTAAGGCGAGTGTCTAGGTGAGCAACCTCCTCCTCCCCGGGCTCGGGCACCTCGAGCTCCTCCGTGTTGTAACGTGCCTTTAACTCGCGCCATTTTCTTTTTCCCATCAGACCTGCAAACACAAAGAGCACAACACATACGAAGATGAACAAAGACAAAGAATCTAATAACTAAAAACGATGAGGTACTCACTCTCCAAGCCCCTTTTCTTATTCGCCAAGTTAGCAAGCGAGAGGACGAGCTTGTAGTCCAAGGAGCGAGGAAGCGCGACCAAGTTGGTGATGGCAGTATTATCGAAATCCGACAGTTGAAGGCTGCTTGACCCATTAAATTTGATCGGATTCTGCTACCAGAAGAGGGGAAACCTCGGCACCCCTGTAGACCCCTAAAATTGTCCGGGTCGGAA